CCCACGGCCGGAGTCGCCAGGGCCAGAACGTTCCAGGCCCGGGGCCTCCGAGCAGCAATTATGAAGTAACAAGGCATCACAGAAATGGGACATTTCCACAACCAGACCCTTTTGTTTGACATTTTTCCCCAAAGGGGTTTCTGGAAGCAGTGCAAGTCAAGGCTTGCACAACGGAAAGTCAACGTCCATAACAACGTGACTCAAGCTCTGCCTCTCGGAGTCTTTCACTTCTTGTGGATGTAAAACTTTCCATATTTTCAAAGGAAAATATTTTCTCTTTTGTTTGCTTGTTTTTAAACACACCAAAACACCAGAAAATTTCAAAAGTCAGATGTAAGAAAAAACAAATCAATTCCTCAAATGACTGTGAAGATGTAAAAGCCAACCCAGGAAGAAGTACCAGCCTTTGGGAAGGTATGAAAAGAAGCTGAGAGGAGGTGTCAGAGCTAAAGCAAAAATCTGCATGCTAACATTTGCTCCACCACAGAGATGAGAAAAGAATTCCTTACCGCAGGAAACAATACCTAAACACACACGCTTCAAAACGTCCTCATAATCATTTTCCCACTGCAAACAAATAGCTGAAGGAAATCAGCCACATACAAGACAACCCAATCGAGCTCCGTGGGGCTTTGCCACCACGCAAAGACTGGCTTCTCGTTCAGCCCAGAGATCCCCACATCTGGTGCACAAACACAACCATTTATAGAAAGCCAGCGACTTGTTTTTTAAAAGAAGAAAAAAAAAAACGCTAGGCTGATCCTGGCGAATCTTTTAAGCCCTAAAATATTTATAGTTCCAAAGGAAAGTTTTTCTCGTTAGAGAAAACCCACAACAAAGAGAAAGGAAAGACCTCTGCAAGATTTCAGACATGAGCAGATAGTAGCTTGTATTCCTTGGCTGAGGATTACGCGGCTCTGGCCAACATCTATATACAATGCTCTAGACAGGGACAAATAGCAGCAGATCAAGGCTACTGCTCTGCGCTCAGATAGGACATCACTGTTTCTGGCTCGATGCGGGTACAAGGTGATCCTCGTCCTCAAAATGCACTGTAAAAGTTGCATGTATTTACGTGATCATCCCTCAGAAATAACACTTCTGAGGGCTGTACAGATGCTACAGTTAAATGTGTGTTCCTGCATTTTGCAGCAAATGCCACTGATGAATTGTATAACTAGATGCAGTAGAGAAACAGGGAACTGTCATTTTCACCAGTCTCTGTACAAACATATTGTGTTAACCGAGCGCTTTCTCACTAATTCTTTATCTACGTCTCCATAAGGACCTACTAACATACTTGCAACTGCAGGCTAAGTATTTTTTTCCAGAGCATTTCCATTTCTAAACCTAGTAACGCCGCTTCTCCTCCTGTCTGTGATCAACACACAAAACATCCAGGAAGAAAGAGACCCCTCATCATAGCGCTACACTAGCATTTTACTACTTTCTGCCAGGAGAGCATTTCATTCACAATTCAAACTTTCTTCCTCATCACTTGTTCCATCATTTCCTGGCAATTTCAGTTCACGTCAAATCAAATTTGCCTAGACACAAGAAATGGCTCTGGTTTAGGAAACCCATCTCATTTAGTGATCCAGTCTAGCAGGTTCCAGACAAGCCAACCACAGAGCAATACTGGGTGCTTTCAGTTCCAGTGAAATCCACCTAAGGACAGCAGAGATGCCACTTAACATGGCAAACGGAACCAAGGGGAGCTATTACCATGGAGATGTTGAATCAAATACGTACTAATAGTGCCTCTTCCACCCCTCACTTGAGATAAGCATTCATTTGAAATAAAACAGGGAAGGGAGATAGCCAGAGACTTCTGCCAGCACAGGGGGGAGGTGAACCTCCGATCAGCACTGCTGCACAGGCAGGAGCCCCCAGCGTCCCCAGCGTTTCCACAGGGAAACCCTGCTCTAACGGTACAGTTGTTTGGCTCTTGGGAAGTTTAATGGTATCCACATTGAGGGGTGTTGCGCCAGCCTAACTGTATCATGCCATGGGCATTTTCTCAAACAGCACATCAGCATCCCCACTGCTGTAGCATACTCCCAGAAGAGGGTCAAAAATTGCTGGAGCATGGAAGCAAGAACTGAAATGCTTCAGCACTAGAGCAACAAGAAGGCAGAGAAGTGCCTAACCCTGCACGCTTGTCTGTATGTGGGCAGGCCTGCTTCTACGAGTGTTTAGCTCTACAACAAAGATAGCTCATGGCCTCTAGAGACTGACCAAGATTGACCGAAGACAACAGCGATACAGCAAGGAGTGCTGTGATGGCATGGTGACAGCAGGTGAGGAGAACATGGGTACCTCCACGCTGGGCCAGGCACCTCGAGCACTGCCTCTCCCATCCAGCAGCGATGCCAGAGAAACCCAGGACTAAGCAATTACACCACCTCTGCTTCAGATCAGGAGTTCCTGCACTTTGCTCAGCTCAAGGGCACAGTGGCAGTTTTCCAGAGTCCACAAGCTCCTTTTGGACAGAAGAACACAGAGCAGATAGCTGTCTTCGCTGCCAAAAGAGAGATCACAGATCTCTGATCAGATCAGCAGCACTGGCCTGGATATTGATTGAGCTGGGTGGCTGTAGGCACTGTGGGCTGCCTCCCGTGTAGGTGAAGGAATGAGGAAGTGCCTCATAGTACCAGATGTTCAGATACCAGTAAGGGCATGGCCACACATCCAGGTATCACGCATCCATGTACTGCTGGTTGCTCAGCGGTACAAAACATTGCAGTGCTGGAAGCAAATGCAGCTTTGCACATTATACACAAATAGAAGTTAACTTGCTAGGTTTAAAAATGGAAATACAACAAGCGCCTGCAAAACATCAGAACTTGTTACAGGAAAACTCCTGCATAGTGCCAGCTGTGGTGGCACTCTGCCGAAACAGGGAAACAACCCTGAGCAGGACCAGTCTTGGGAATAGTAGTGCCCCATGAAAGTGTCAAAGCCCGAGCAGCGCCCATGTCTGGGTGGAGAAAGGATGCAGGATGAGGGAAACCAGAAGCATCTTGGCTCTGCAGGCACAGGGATGACAGCTAAGACATAGGACTGCAGTGGTGCGCAGAGGGGCATAGAACAATCAAGGAGCATCTTCACAGTGAGATATGATTACTATTCAGTGATCCAGTCCAGTTGGATCCCATTCCCCAGGAACGGCCCAAGGATTTGATTATTACCATTACCAAAAGACCACATCACCAAACCCATTAACTGGGTAGTTTTGTCCAGTTCTCAGGTCTACGCTTCAAAGAGAAAACAACCCAATTGCAGCAGAGAGTTCAGAAAGCATTATGAGAATAAGAAGGTTGGAAGACTTGACTCAGCTAAAGCGTAGCGCCTACAGAAGCTCAATCTATTCATTTCATCAACGAGATGCTCATGAAATAAATTTTATCACAGCCTGAGTACATCCACAATGGTAAAAGACTTGTGACAATAAATGGCTCATTGGGGAAAAACCCAATCCAATTACAAAGGTAACCCACTGTTCCACCACCTGGAGTTCTTGCAGCAAAATCAGTTTCATTTTTCTTTAAAAATTCCGTGATGAAGGTATGCAAAGAACACATGAGCAAAATGATGAACTATGCCCTGATGTTCAATTCCTCTGAAAATTAGAGGCAAACATCACTGTGATAGAGAGAGGTCAAAAAACACGGCTGCTGCAGAGTAGGAAGTCCAAAAGCTGGTGGACATACCTGCTTTATTAGTTTCAATGCGTCCCACCTGCCTCAATACTACCAGAGTGCAGAACATCCTGTGGCAATGAGTGCCACAATTTAATTACATGCTATGAGAAAAAGCACTTCCGCTTGTTTATTTCAGATCTGCTGCATGGTAACTTCCTGTAAAAACAGAAAATTGATGTTCCCTGTTCACTTTCTCTGACCTGTTCTTGACTTCACACACCTGTGTCCTATCTCCCTTCAGTAAGCTTTTCCCTAAATAGAGGCTTCACCTGCCTAAAAACTTGGCCATCCTTGCTGCTTCTCCCCATACCTTTTCCGGTGTTCCCCTTTTTGAGACAGGCAACCAAAAGCACAAAAAGAGTATCCAAGACACAAGCTGCCACCAATTTACACATTGGTATAACAATGCTTTCTGCTTTGTTCTCTGTTCCTTTTAAGCAATTCTAAAATTTCCTTTTTTGACTACAGCTAGGTGTTGAACTCAAGTTTTAAGTGGAACAATAACTGAGACACCAACAGCTCTTTCCTGAATAGTAAAAGCTAATGAAGAGTCAATGGCTGGGGAGAGTCTGCTACCTTCATTACATTACAGCCATCCTATCTCATGTACCATATTAGCATTTAGCCACTCAGTAGCACCTGGTCCCTGTGCAACTTCTCACAGTTAGTTTTGGCCACCCTAAATAATTTAGTATCAAAATTCATTACTTCCCTTTCCTTCTCCATATCATCATATCCAGAAAAGAAAACAAAAGCAGAAGTCACTATGAAACTCCACAATACCTGCTGTGAACACCAGCCATTCATTCCTACTCTGTTTGTCATTTTTTATATGTTATTACTTCCAAAGAAGGCCTTCCCAGACTGCAGGCCTGGAGAGCTACCCTGCCAAAAGTTTACAAATTCAAATGCCAACTGTGCAGGAATTAAGCATATGGACAAGGGTGATGAAGACGTGTAACATATGTGGGAAATAAGATGAGATTTTTTTCCCCCTCTTAAAAAGCATGTTGACGCTTTCCGTTTCCTTTATATCAGATATACCAACGCATCTACCACCTATTTTTACGACGTTTCAGCTAGTCCCCAAGTCCTTGCAGCTCTTTGAAGCCTGCAAGGAGGCAGCCTTGCTGCTCGGGCAGGGCAGGTGAACTGCAGTATATTCCAGGCCCCAGGAGAGCAGCCCCAAGGAGTGCGTCCCGCACCTTGACATCCACCTGCTGCCCGCGCAGGATGAGCTCTCCTTCCCCCTCCTGCAAGTCACAGGGCACTGCTGCAGGGTCTGCTCTGATGGTCATGCCGGGCCTGGTCGCCCCACGGCAGCACAGCCTCAAGCTGGGGCTCCCGCCCCACAGGGTGCACCTTACCGTGGTGCACGGCTTCAGGGGGCCCACAGGGCTGCCCAGCACCGGGTCCTGCAGCCAGGACCCCATAGCTAGGAAGCGGGGAGAGGTCCCTGCTGCCTTCACCCACAGCTGGACACCAGCAGGGAAGCCACCATCAT